AAGATTACAGCCACGAAAACCCTACGGAGCAGTTCTACTCTGTAACACACCGGCTGCCATGAGTCAGAATCCACAGGTTAGGGTTAATCGTGGACAGGTGCTGATCTCTTGGGAAGGACAACTCTAATCAACAACTCCCTGTCAGGCACCCACACCCACTTCACATTAATCCTCTCCCCCAAGGAGAAAGTGTTGGTAAGTCCATTTTACCATCTTGTTTGGGGTTCAGAGGGTGATTTCATGACTTGCCCAGAATTAGGAGGCCAGCAACTGCCAGAGCCAGGGGTAGAGCCCAGGCCTACCGGATGCCATGATCTGCACCCTCTCCATGAACCTACGATGCCTGAGGTAGGAGGGAGGAAAGTGTGGCCGCTCTGTCCCAGAAAAGCTCTGGCTGTCGCCCAAGGCCAGGGCCAAGGCCGGATGACCTCCCCAGGCCCGGGCAGCCAGAGAATTCCAGGGCTTCCCAGCCCTGCTTTCCAGAGCAACACATGGATAAAGAGAAAGGGGCAGGGTGATGATGATGACTCAGGGATTCTGCAGCCAGAGTTCAGGGAGAGCCTTTTAATGATGGTGATTAAAACAATTATCCCCCCATGTGTACTGTGATCTGAAGGCCCTCTTTGCAGCCGTGAATTAATTAATAAATACGAACACAAGGGCTCGGGTGAGTTCCGGGCGAGTCCCAGGGCACAGGCTGAGTGGATGGGGAGGTTCCAGAAGGGAGTTCACGGAGCTGGAACACTAGCCCTGCCCTGCTTCCTCCCCCAGGGCATAACCAGACCTTCTCTGGCCTGGGGTTCGCTTTCTGTTCATGCATAGGTTCTGGGACAAAGTGGGGATCCTGGCCCCATCTGGCATCTTCTGCCCGTGTCAGTGCAGGCAGTTGCTTTACCCCTTGCTTTCTTTATCTGTAGAATGGGTAGAAGCAATTGGGAAGGTGTAGTGAGGCTAGGAGACCTTGGATGAAATGTGAGGTGGGTTAATGGTCCTCCTTCAAGTCCCGGAGGAGATAATGCCCGATCACTTCAAGACCCAGGAACGAGTATAAACCAGTATCCCCCTGGCCAGATCGAGACAGGGGAGAGAGAGGACCTGGGAGTTGGGAGACCAGACTGGACTCCCAGCTCTGACGCTGTGAGACCCTGGCAGTCACTCAGTGTCTCTGTGTTTCTGTTTGCGCTTCTGTAAAATGGAGTGAGGTCTTCCAAATGGGAAGGTATTTTGAATCAACAAAAACCATGAATGCAAGATAGTATCATTCTTCGGCCAAACTAATACCGAGCTTTTGGGAGCAGGGACCTGATCCCAGCAACACTGGTTGCACACTGAGGCCGGCCAGGCCCATACAGGTGGGGCCAGATGAGGTGGAGAGAAGCCAGCTGGGTGCCACTAGACTTCAGCTGAGAGTCTCCTGCGGCTTTTCCCTCTGATGGCCCTTAATGAGCCCAGTGATTCACTGTGTGCCTCTCCGGTGCAACTTTTGTCCGTGGAATGCTGGGAAGCACCTCAGGCTGGACCCCTGTTGCCTGGTGCAAAAGATGAATGTTTTCAGCTGCTAACTGAAAGGTTGCAGGTTCGAATCCACCCAGAGGCACCTCAGAAGAAAGGCCTGGCAATCTGCTTCTGAAAAATCACTGAGAACCCTGGAGAGCACAGTTCTGCTCTGACATCCATGAGGTCCGCAGGAGTTGGGGTCTACTCAACAGCTACTGGTTTGGTGCTTTGGTTTTGAACTAGCCTCGTAGCCCCTGTCTTTGTCCTTCAGTCCATCCTCTGAGGTGCTGTGTGTTGCTGTTCTCTTCAGTGCCCTTCAATGGCGCTCCACTGCCTTTAGAACAAGAGGCCAACCCTCTGGACACGACCTGCAGGCTCCAGTTTCAGATGCCCGCTCACCTCTCCAGCCTTGTCTCCTCCACTTCCTTTTCTAACCCTGCACTTCCGCCACATCAAGCCTTTGACTACTCCCTCAACCTCCCGTGTTGTTTCTGCTCCTCTGCTGAACACTCTCCCCCGTCATCCTCGATCCTCCTCTGAGAAGCCCTTCTGGCCACCCCTCCCTGGGGTACCCCCAGCGCTTAGCACACCCTGTCTACCTGTTGTATAACTGTGTTGCCATCTGTCTATCTTCTCTAAAGGCAGTCCTTTGCCTCGCGGTTCCAGTCGATAGCACAGGGATGCTCGGTGAATGTTCACTGAAGGAAATCCTGACAACTGGATTTGAATTCAGTTGTTGCTGCCTTTCAAACTGTGTGCCCTTGGCCTCTCTGGGCCCTGATTTCCTCATCTGTCCTGCCTATCCTACCAGGTTGTCATGAGCCTTAAGGGCCTGTGTGGACAGAAGGGAGGTTCCTGGGTAGCACAGAAAGTTTGCACTTGACTACAAACTAAAGGTTGGCAGTTGGAGCCTACCTAGCGGTGTTCCACAGAAAGACCTGATGGATCTGCTCCTGTAGAGATTACAGCCAAGTGAACCCAATGGAAGGAGCTCTGGTGATGTAGTGCCTAAAGCATTTGACTGCTAACCAGAAGGCAGGTGGTTTAAACCCACTAGCTGCTCCTCCAAAGGAAGATGGGGCAATCTGCTTCCATAAAGATTTACCACCTCAGAAACCCAATGTGGTGACTATCAGTTGGAATCAACTGGATAACAGTGAGTTTGGTTTGGTTTTTTAAAACCCCACGAAGGCATTGAGGAAGTGGAAGACATAGAGAGGTGCATGGGAGGTACAGACAACAAAGATGAACCCTTTTGCATGTATAATATTGTGTTGTCAGTGACGGCAAGCATTGCTCTATGGGTGGACAGATGGGTGGACAGGCTGGACAATCAGGTACGTCTAGGCAGAGGGGAGTGTGCCCATGATCATGTATAGGGTTGGCATATGATGTTTCTATAAGCGTATTAGATGTGCTGTAAGAATGTCCAGGTATATAGTAGAACTGACAAGGGATAAGGTTGTGGTGACTTTTTGGCTACAGCCAGCCACCCTGAGGGAGCAAGTAGTTGGACCAAGGTCGCAGGGAACATCAAACTCTATTGACATAATATACTACACAAAAATAATGTTCTACATCCTACTTTGGTGAGTAGTGACTGGGGTCTTAAAAGCTTCCAAGCAGCCATCTAGATACAATGATGAGTCTCTCCTCGTCTAGAGCAAAGAATGAAGGACAGCAAAGATCCATGGCAACAACAAGTCTGAGGGACTAGTGGACCATGTGAACCTTAGCCTATATAACTCTGAGACCAGGAGAACTAGATGGTGCCCAGCTACCACTCAGCCACTCAGAGGGGGATTGGTGCAGGTGATACTGGATAGAGTGGGAGAACAATGTGGAACAAAACTCAATCTTTAAAAGAAAAAAAAAAAGACCAGGTTTGTTGGTCTGATAGAGCCTGGTGAGACCCCTGAGACTATGGCCCCTGAACCCACTCCTGTGGCTTCCATCCAAACTATGGACAGGCATATGGGCTGACCATTTATATCAGGTGGATACACACTCATGAGAGAACAGAAGGGGAGTGTTTGCACAGGGAGACAGCTTGTGGGGGAGGAGTGTATGGGAGGGAAGGACACAGGGAAGAGGTAACTATGGGAAGGAAGTGGGAAGAGAGCTGTTATATTGTGGGGACTTGCAGTCAATGTCATGAAACAAAATGTGTATGAACTTCTGTATGGAAAATGAATTTGCTCTGTAAATTTTCACCCAAATCACAATAAAATTAAAAAACAGAACAAAACCCCTATGGAACAGTTCTTTTCTATAACCCGAGGAATCACTATCAGTTGGAATCGACTTGACAGCAGTGGGTTTTTGGTTTTTTTTTTTTTTTTTTGGTAGATAGGTGGACATGCTTTGGGGTTCAGTGCATACATGAGAGCCAAAGAGAATCAAGGGCTGCCACCCCTACAAGGATCCCCGAGTTCAGGTCCTGCACCTTCCGGAAGCTTCTGGAAACACTTGGCTCCCTTCCTTGCCCCTCCCAGCCCTGCCTCGGCTCCTGTCTATCTTTCCAGCTCTGGCGTTCAAAAGAACAACAAACCTGGGTGCCTCGCCAGCAAGCTTGTTCCTGTTGGCCCGGCTGCAGGCCTGCCAGCCACTGCCCACCCCTCCCTGTTGTGTGGGAGCCCAGGATGCAGAGTATTTGGGTTCTGTGGGTATCGGCTCCAGTCAGAGGGAGCCCGCTCAGGGCTAGAGCCCAAGGAGGGGGAGCGCCTCTAGAAGTCTGTTCAGAGGTCCCAGGCCTGGGGGCAGGGGTAGGGCAATAATAATAAAACAATATTTGCATAGAGATTTCGTTTACAATGCACTTTCTCAGGGCAGGCTGGTCTGGAGACCTGGGTGGCCTGCAATTCGGGGTGGGGAGGTGGGCTGGCCTGAGGTTGGTTCCTTCCCAGCTGGCAACCGTGTAGGAGGGAGACAAAGAGCCATTCAGCCTGCTTCCGATTCCTCTGGGTCTCTGTCCTTTTCCCCCTCACTCCCATAAAGAGCTCACTAGGGGCTTGTCACTCAGGCCTGAACGGGGGTGTCTGCGGCTCCAAATGGGGTGGTAGGCTCCCTAGCACGTGCCTGCACTGCTGTCACCCACTAGTCCCCAAGCTCGGGGAGAATCCGAGCCGCCTTGCTGGGGGTGGTTTGTGCCCCTCCAGTGTGCTCACCTGGGCTGTATCTTCAGGTAGTGAGCATGGGTTTGGTAACACCTGTGCAGGTGCTGGTGTGGTAACTAACCCTCAGAGATAAGCAGTGTGTGGGTCTTTGCTAATGCCTCCACCCACCACCAGTGTGCACTGGGAGGACTTAGGGACACAGTGTAGGGGCGCGGGGACTCTGGGGTGTCTGGACCTGCATTGTGGGGTGTGTATGAGGCAGCTGCGCCCCACTCCTGTGTGACCTCAGCTAGAGAGCAGCCTGAGGGACCCAGAGACTGGCTGCCGGGGTGAAAAGGTGAGGAGGGTGGCGTTGCCCGGGCCCCTTAAGGCCTCTGATGAGCTGTATAGGGTCCACCTGCAGGGGCCTCTCAGCTTCTGCAGCCTGAGCTGGAGGGGAAAGATGCAGGAGCTCATCGCGGGCCTGGAGCGCTTCACCTTCACCTTCGAGAAGGATGTGGACGTGCAGAAGGGCGTGGGTCTCCTGCCTTTCCAGGGCATGGACAGTGAGTGGGCGCCTGGGCCAGCACCCTGTCCGCGGCCCAGCATCCTGCTGGGGTGGCCCCTCTCTCTGGCTCTCTGTTCTCCTCACCAGGGAGGCTGTGGAGGGGGGTTGGGCCCACTGCCTGGGAGTCTCAGTTAACCCTTCTCAGAGGCTCAGGCCTCACCTCTTATGTCTCTCCCTGGTCTCTGGGAGAGTGGGGCTGGCTTCTGTGTAGCCCCTTTTCCAGACTGGGAAAGCAGAGACCCCTAGAGAAGGTAAATGGAGAGAAGCTGGGCCAACCAGGCCAGGCTCCAGGGCAGTTTTGCCTCCATCCCCTCCTACTCCGCTGTTTGAGAGGTGAGGGGCTTAGGTGTTGAGGCTTGCAGGCTGGCTCAGATTTGAGTGCACAGGCCTGAGCCTTGAGGAGGTCCAGGGGAGACTTGCTGCATTGGGTGAAGGCCTCCGGGGAAGCTCCTTCTCTCTTCCTTCCCCTTCAGAGTCCAGCTCTGCTGTGTGCAACTTCTTCTCCCAAGGGCTCTGTGGGAAAGGTGAGTGAGCGGCTCGGGGCGGGCCTGGCTGGCAGAGCAGGGTCTGGCTCAGCAGGGACTCGCCTGGCCGAGGTGTGGCAGCTGCATCTGGGGAGGGAAAGGGACAGAGGAGGGGTGGGGGGTTTGGGCAGTGTGTGTGTGTAGGAGGCAAAGCAGAGGACCAGGAAGGGGCAGTCCTTCCTCCTGCCTTGCTGATGAGGCCAGAAGGCTTATGGGTTTGGCCTGTGAGTCCTCAGAGGCCCCAGCCAAGAGAGTGGGATCCCCCTGTCCCCCACTCTTGGCTTCTTAGTCTCTGTGGGACAAGACCAGTTGTGCCACCCATTCCCTGTAGTCATAGTCCTTGAAGTGCTGGCAACAGCACCCTCACTCCTCTCTCCTCGACTTTGGATTAAGCAATGCCCTCTCCCTAAACCCCTCTCCCCAAGTACAGCTTTCTGGAGAAACTGTTTTAAACACAAGGGTTCTGAACTTTTCTTTTCTTTCTTTCTCTTTTTTTTTTTTTTTTTGGCTCATGGAACACTTAGAGGTTCTCCACCCATAGAAATATACAGTTGCCCAAACAGCCTTGCCTGTAAATTTGGAGGTTCTCAGTCTCCCTGAGGCTTGGTCATAGATCCAGGTTAAGAGGCTGTTGATGTGAATGAGTTTAGGACCTGCTTTGACTCCAAATGATCCTGTTTCTGGAGCTGGGAGACCCTGGGGCCATGTTTGCTCACAGCCTGGTGATGAGGACAAGGGAGACGAACTGTCTAGAACAGCATGTCCTTCACTGTGGGTCAGGCTCTGTCTGGCCTCCAAGACTCCCCATCAGGTCCTGCCTCCTCAGCTCAGCCCACCCCATGTCTAAAGCCATGGTTCACAATGAGGCCTTCTTGCAGTGTGCTTGGACCATCCAAAGAATATACTGTGGTGTGGAAAGTCAGACCCAAGCAAGTGAATGGCTAAGGATATGGGGTGATGGGTACCATAGATTCCAACTCACAGCAACCCTAAAGGATAGTGTAGAACTGCTTCATAGGGTTTCCAAGGCTGTCATCTTTATGGGGATCCCCATTGGTGCCGTGGTTAAATGCTTAGTTGCCAACCGAAAAGTTGGTGCTTTGAACTCACAAGCTACTTATGGGAGAAAGATGTGGCAGTCTATTCCCATAAAAATGAAAGCCTAAGAAATCTTATGGGGCAGTTCTACTCTGTCCTAGAGGGTTGCTATGAGTCAGAATCGACTTGACGGCAACAGGTTAATCTCTGTGGAAGCTGACTGACATGTCTTTCTCCCATACAGTGGCAGTTGGGTTTGAACCGCTGACATTTTGGTTAGCAGCTGAGCGCTTAACTACTGCATAACTCCTGTCAAAGGCCTAGGGCAGGGAGTAGGGAGTATTGGAAAAGAACACCTTCCTAGGCCCCCTCAAATTCAATCAGAGAGGGTTGGCCACTGTATGGCCAGGCCTGCTGAGGAGCGTAGCATGGGGATGTCCTTCCTCCTGGTGGCAATGCCATTCTAATGAAGATAACATGTAATCCTGTGTAACATTGCCATGTAAGAGCCCTTCTAAATCATCACAGGATCGGCTCTTCATCATCAGGAAGCGTAGTGTTTTTGCAGACACGAATTCAATGAGACCATAATGAGAACTTGCTGGGTGTCGGATCTGGGCTGCCCTGGGGTTGGAGCTGCAGGACAAGCCTGGAGAAGGGTCATGTTGTGCAGAGTGCTGGGAGAAGGCTGCCTCTCCACTGAGGTTTGGTGGGCAGCTCACCAAGCAGAAGGGACAGGTGGGACGGGCTGATGGAGAACGGTTTGGACAAAGCTGTAGTGGAGGGAACAGCAGTCTCAGAACACAGCATGTCCTTCCTGCTGCCTCTGGCCCCAATTCTAGCCCCAACCTGGGGCTTGTGAGACAGTGGTGGTTCAGTGGTAGAATTCTCGCCTTCCAGGGGGAAGACCTGGGTTCCATTCCCAGCTCGTGCATCTCACACGCAGCCACCATCCATCAGTGGAGGCTTGCATGTTGCTATGACATAGAACATACGAGCTCTGGTAGCATAGTGCCTAAGGCACTTGACTGCTAACCAGAAGGCTGGTGGTTCAAACCCACCAGCCACTCCTCGGAAGGAAGGCTGGGCAATCTACTTCCATAGTGATACTGCCTCGGAAACCCAAGGAGGGGCCGCTATGAGTCAGGTCTGACTCCAGGGCATATGACAACAACATGACGTAGAACTAGTTTCAGTGTAGCTTCTAGACTGAGATGAACTAGGAAGAAAGCCCTGGTGATCTGTTTCCAAAAATCAGCCCATGAAGACCCTAGGGATCACACGACCATGCAAATGGCACAAGACGGGACTGTGTTTCGCTCCAACATGCGTGGGGTCACTATGAGTGGGGGGCCAACTCGACAGCAATGAACCACCACCACCGGGAGCTCAGGGGTGACCCCCACGCTCCTGGGAAGCCCCTCAAGGGGTGAGCGGGTCTCCAGCCAGGTGGTCTGCTGTCTCCAGGTAGGCGCTGCCCTTTCCGGCATGATGGTGGGGGGCAGACGGTGGTGTGCAAGCACTGGCTGCGGGGCCTGTGCAAGAAGGGTGACCAGTGCAAGTTCCTGCACCAGTACGACGTCACCAGGATGCCTGAGTGCTACTTCTACTCCAAGTTCGGTAAGGTCCCTGCCCCCAGGGAGCTGGAAACACGTTCCCAGGAGGTCCACGAGGCCAGTCTGAGCCCCAGTAGGCTGCTTCTCCAATCCCCCAGAAAAAGTGGGCCTGTGCTCTGTGAGGTCTCCTTCTGTAGCCCCGCAGGCTCAGGCTTCCCGGTTATGCCCCAGGAGAGGAGGGGCGGCTTAGAATCAAAGACTGAAAGCCTTCCCTCCTGACTAAACACACCCTGGACTGTCTGTCCAGACTTCAGCCCAATAGGCCATCTTTCAAACCCAGGGCTAGGCCGGTACTTCCTACACTTAGGCCTCCGCAAGCCACGCTCACCATGTGTTGGTACTGCGGTACCCACAGCCTCCCACATCGCTGTATGTTTTTCCAATGACTTGCTATTTTTAACTCTTATTTTAGAAGAAAATTTAACATTGCTTCCCTCAATGGAAAACGAAATCATTTGTTGGGAATGAAAGTAATGTTAATATAAAATCAGGAGGTGGAGAAGTGCCGCCCCTATGCTAGCTCGGTACCCCACTACTGGGCCGCTTTCCTCCCTTCTGGCCTCAAGTCCCTCTTTTGTCATTTAAGGGGCTATCTCAGGGTGGGGGGAACCACAGCCACTTTCCACCTCCTCTAAGAATGGAATCAAAGTCCTTAGGTGGTGTAATTGGTTAGCACACCTGTTGCTAACGGAAAGGTTGGAAGTTCCAGTCCCCTCGGTGTACCTTGGAAGAATGGAATCTGTGAGTGTGTTTCAGATCTCTTCCTTCCCAACAAAATTCTACAACTCATGCTTCTCAGAGCCTTAAGGATTCTCTAGTCCAGTGGTTCTCAAACTGAGGGGTGAAGAGTGACAGGAGAGAGCTGGCAAAATCCCCTGTTATGCCATTGATTTAGGACTTGCAACTTCACTACGTGGCAGGAGCTGCTGTTCCTCAGTGGTGGTTACAGCAGGTGGGAGGGTCCTGGGTACGGGGGGGTGGGGAGTGGGGTAGGGGTGGAGGCAGGCCGACCAAGGCAAAGCATCCTAAGTCAGCAAGTGTACCCCTCAGGTCACAATTCTGTTTCTGGCTGCCTCCTCAGAGGTGGGGGCCCTGGCAATTCACGGCCTGCCCACATGTTGCCCTTTAAAGAAAGGACAATGTTTACCCAGAGCCCGGCTCCCCTTGGTCATGGCTTAAAACTCTGCTGTGTCTTTATTCCTGTAAGGAACCTTGGCTGGGTTTCCTTTGGAGATTGGGTACCATGCTGGGATGGAAAGAGGAACAGGACCAAGCCCCCTTCTGTTCTCAGATTACTCAGATTAGCACCAACACATGATTACAACACATATTCCATGTTTCTGTTCTTAGAACAAATGGATCTCTCTTCCTTATATATCCAAGTATCCTCCCCATTGGAGTCCCAGGTTGGGGCAAAGGGTTAAGGTGCTTGGCTGCTCACCAAAAGGTTGGTGGTTCTAGTCCACCATGAAGTGGCTTGGAAGAAAGGTCTGGCAATCTGTTTTGAAAAATCAGCCAAAGAAAACTCTTTGGAGGACGGTTTTACTCTGATACACATGGGGTCGCCATGAGTCAGTCAACTCCACAGCAACTGGTATTAGTGGGTATCACTCTTATTGGCAATAAATTGCCTTTTTTTTTTTTTTTTTTACTTTTTTAAAAAATTATTGCTGGGGTGTGGGTATGGGAAAGGGTAGTTAAAGGGACCTAGAAAGTCCAAGGTATTTGGTGCTATTCCTGGCATGTGTTATCAAAAGAGGTGTCTCTGGGAGACAAGGTCTGGTGGGTGAGGGGTTGGTGCCACCTGTTGGCCAGCAGAGGAATGCCAACATGTGCATCTCCATCTACCAAACGCTGACTTAGCCCCAGTGGGTGGTGTCCTATGATTTCCTAAGAAGGCTGAAGAAGCCCAGAGTTAGCACTCCATCAAGCGCTGTACCCCAGTGATGTGCAAGCCAGCCTTCTAACAGTGTGAGGACGCCCAGTGAAAACAGACATGCCACCTCCCCTTTCTGAGTGCTGCTGCCTTCATCTGTGGAAGGAGAGGGCTGCAAGGCAGGGGGTTTCAGACTCTGAGAAGGCAGTGGGACTCTCCTTCAGGTGTGGCTTGCCTGAAGAAGCCGGGGTGTAAGTCTCCTGGGAGCGCAGCTTGAAAAGCACCTGAGGGGCTCCCTTGTGAAGGCCTTTTCAGCACTACAAAGTGCTGCATTATCGAATTGTAAGGAGGATGAAGTTGGGAACAGTCACAAATTCTCTGCTGGGAAGAGGGGAGAAGTGGCCTGAATCTTTCCCTATGTACTTTTTAGAGCCCTGGGTCCCTAACTTTGAGGAATCTGAGAACTCTTTTTTTTTAATGCATTTAATTGAAATATAATTTATGTACAATGAAATACACAAAAACTAAAGCTCTGGTAGCTTAGTGCCTAAGGCACTTGACTGCTAACCAGAAGGCTGGCGGTTCAAACCCACCAACCACTCCTCAGAAGGAAGACAGGGCAATCTACTTCCATAGTGATACTGCCTCGGAAACCCAAGGAGGGATCGCTATGAGTCGGTTCCGATTCAATGGCACACAACAACAACAAACAAACAACAAAAGTGACATGGGTCAATGCATTTTTTTTTTTTTTTTGGAATTCTTTCCCCTCCCACTCCTGGCAACCAACAAAGAAAGTTTCCCTCCATATATAAACCTTTCCTTGACCCTCCACAACATCCCCTCCCCTCCCCTCCCACTCCTGGCAACCAACAAAGAAAGTTTCCCTCCATATATAAACCTTTCCTTGACCCTCCACAACAATGAACTAATACTATATTTGAACTTCTGTGATTGACTTATATCTCTCAGAATAATATCCTCCAAGTTCATCCATATCATGTGGTGTTTTGCAGACTCTACATTATTCTTTAATGCTGCATAGCATTCCATTATGTGTATGTACCATAGTTTGGTCATCCACTCTTCCACTGATGGGCACGTAGGTTGTCTCCATATTTTTGCTATTGTAAATAGTGCTGCAATGAACATGAGTGTGCACATATCTGTTCCTATCCTGGCTCTCACCTCTCCAGAATATATACCTAGTAATGGGATTGCTGGGTCAAATGGTATCTCCAATTCCAGCTTTCTAAGGAATCACCATATTGATTTCCACAGTAGTTGGATCACTTCACAGTCCCACCAGCAGTGCATGAGAGTCCCAATCTCTCCACGTTCTCGCCAGCATTTGTTATTTTCTGTCTTGTTGAACCTTGCCATCATTGCTGGGATGAGATGGTATTTCATTGTTGTTTTGATTTGCATCTCTCTGGTGGCCAATGATTGTGAGCATCTCTTCATGTATTAGCTGGCCACCTGAATATCCTCCTTGGTAAAGTGTCTATTCATGTCTTCTGCCCATTTTTCAATTGGATTGTTAATTTAAGGAATCTAAGGACTCTTGCAACCCCTCCTAAGAAGGCTGTGCCCATAGGGCTGGCTCCTCCTTGGCTACAAGCTCAACAGGAGTCTTGGTCAGATCCACAGACAGACTACAGCACAGGCTTTGGGTCACTACCAGTGTCCCTCTGTGTAGCAGCTGTTTTCACGCCCATGGCAAATTTGAAGTAAAAACCTCCTGTTCCCGGTATTTTCACCAAGCAGAACTGCTCCCCTAGGCTCCAGAAGTGGTGGAGGTTCTGTAGAAGAGATGATGAGAGGGCTTTCGGGAGCTCACAGCCACGTCTGCGCTCAGTGTCTTCTCGGCACTCGAGCTGCCAGCTCCTGGTCACTCCTGGTCTCTCTGTCAGCCTCTCCCTGCCTTCTGCTCCAGTCTCTTCTGGACATCCGGGGATGCTCCAGCTCTTCCAGATGTGTTTGTTCATACCTGTGCCCGGCTTAGCACATTATTATCAAGATTCACTCTTCTTCCGTTGCAGGAAAGGTCATGGTGAGGTTGCTCTTTTCAAAAAGCTGTGGAAAGACGACAGGAAAAGCAGGTAGCTTACACATGAGGGCTGCTCCAGTCTGGAGAGGTGGGAGGTGCCACAAAGATGAGCCTCTCACGTCTCTGAACTCTCCACTGAAGACTGGTTGGAGCAGCATTGTTGTTGGTGATATGTAGTAACCCTGCGGAAGCCAGAACCTGTATAAGGCAGAAGCCTGTCCAAGAACTCAGTAACTCAAACAAGGGGGGATTCTGAATAGACAGCAATAGAAAGGTGGTAAGACTACCTGTTGAAGGCAGAAAACTTGCAGACCCAGAAGAGCAAGGCTGTCAAGTTCCAGCTCTTACAGGCTTCGTTGTAGCTTTTACCCCCCTCCACACACACACATGAGCCCACTATGTAAAAAGGATGGTGTCATTTTCAGGTGAATGCAACAACAAGGAGTGTTCCTTCCTTCATGTGAAGCCAGCATCCAAGGCCCGGGACTGTCCTTGGTATAATCAAGGTTTCTGCAAGGATGGTGAGGACTGGAGGGGTGCAATGGGATGTGGTGATCAGGTTGGAGGAAGTCTTCCTGATGAGGGTCTGTAGGGGTCTTCCCCCAGAGCTGAAACTCCACTGACAGCCTTTTAGAAGGACCCCCAGGCTCATGCCCCAATGGAAAAGCATGCTGGGGTACAATGCAGGGCAGGCTGGGTTCTGCTGGACAGGCTTCCATGGGTTCGAATTCTAGCTCAGCGCAGATTGGCTGTGTGATCTTGAACAAATGACCCCACTGCTGTGGGCCTGTTTCCTCTCGTAGGAAGCACCTCCCTCAGGGATGACACATAGGACCCCTGGCAAGCCTTGGCAGTCTGCCCAGCTGTAAACACACTCAGCTCATTTTCACTCCTTTGACTCCTCTGTGGAGGTACTGAGTTCTGACTCACAGCGCCCCTAGAAGCGCCTCTACAGGACAGAGTATAAATACTCCAGAGTGTTTCCAAGGCTGTAAATCTTTATAGAAGCAGACTGCCTCATCTTCCTCCTGTGGAGCAGCTGGTGGGTTCAAGCCACCAACCTTTTGGTTAGCAGCTCAGTGCTTTAACCACCGTACCAGCTGAACTTCTCCATAGAGACTACAGCCTTGGAAACCCCATGGGGTAGTTCTACTTTGCTCTATAGAGTCATTGTGAGTCAGAATTGACTCGACAGCAACAGGTTTATTTTTTGGTACACCTTTGTGGCTTAGTGCCTAAGGCATTTGACTGCTAACCAGAAAGCTGGTGGTTCAAACCCACCAGCCACTCCTTGGAAGGAAGACTGGGTCATCTACTTCCATAGAGATACCACCTCAGAAACCCAAGAAGGGGTCTCTATGAGTCAAATTGACTCCATGGCAGTGAGTTTTGTTTTGGTTCTCTGTTATACCTGGGAGCTGTTGAGTTGGTTCTGATTCATAGTGACCCTGTAAGACAGAGAACCATCTCACAGGGTTTCCTAGGCTGTAATCTACACAGGAGCAGACATCTAGGTCTTTCTCCCATGAAGCTGATGGGTGGGTTTGAACTTCTAACCCTTTGGTTAGCATCTGAGTGCCACCAGGGTTCCTTCTAGAGGTAAAGAAGGCAAACCATGGTCCACACTGATGTAAGTCCTCCAAGACATGCAGCATGTTAGCGTATTTCTGACCTGCCTACATCAGAACTTGCCAGTTGATACCTGGCCTGACACATCTTGCAATTCTTTTTCCTATCTGAGTCATGTGGCTAGACATGGTGCTGCAGGGCAGGATAGAAAGAGCAGGAAGGTGAGTCCATTTGAAGCCAATGGGTTTTTTTTTTTTTTATTGAGTGGGTAGGGAGTCCTTGGGCAGTACAAATGGCAGGTTGGTGGCTTGAATCTACCCAGAGGCACCTTGGAAGAAAGACCTGATCTACTTACGAAAGATCACCAAAACCAAACTCAAAGCTGTCAAGTCAATTCTGACTCATAGCAACCCCCATTGGGTTTCCAAGGGTTTGAACCACTGCCCTTTTGGTTAGCAACCAAATGCCTTAACCACTATATCATTAGAATGCCTTTGAAAAGATCACAGCCATTGTAAACTCCTTGAAGAGCTGTTCTACTCTGACACAGGTGGGGTTGCCATGAGTCAGAATCAACTTGACAGCTACTGATTTTTTATTTTTTAATTAAGTGGTGGCCTATAAGGTCTGGTGACACAGTAGTTAAGTGCTTGGTTACTAACCAAAAGGTCAACAGTCTGAACCCACCAGCTGCTCTGCGGAGAAAAGAGGTGGCAGTCTGCTTCTGTAAACATGACAGCCTTAGAAACCCTATGGGGAAGTTCTACTCTATCCTACAGGGTCAGTGTTGAGTTGGAGTCAAGTCAACGACAGCAGGTAAGGGGCCATACCCTTCCCAGTGGACTTTCCTGTGAGTTTCTCCTCATCCAGACTCGCTGGTTGTTTCCTCTTGGCCTAGCAGGTCCCCTGTGCAGATACCGTCATGTCCACCGAGTGATGTGCATCAACTACTTAGCTGGCTTCTGCCCCGAGGGACCCAAGTGCCAATTTGCACAGTAAGTATGATCCTTGGACTGCCACCTCCCATGGAATGCTGGGCCCACCCTCTAATATCTCTGCTACCAAATCCAAAGGCTTGGACTCTGGCTGGCCCAACATGGAAAGTTCAGTGTCTGGCCAGCCCCTGTCCACCCTGAGACTCAGTGCTGTGGCTATGCTGATCCCAGCCCCTCCTCATGTCATAAACGATCCTAGAAATGAGTAGAAACATGGAGTGCCTCCTCCCTTGTTAACTCTCTGCAAGTTTTCACTTCCTGGCTTCAACAGTAAGGGCTCTTTCCTTTCCGGGTTCTGAAATATGGAACCCGGAATATGGAGTCTGTGGTGGGTTGTTGCTTGGCGTGCCAACAAGGAGACCAGAGGAATGTGGTAGGTCTGTAATTGTCTCTTTGTCCTCCTCTCAGTCCCAAGATGAACGTGCTTTTATCCAGGCCCCGTCATGGGAAGGTGAGTGCAGGCAGCGAGGGTGCAGATATCCTTTACTCCACTTATCACTGTTCCCAAAGGGATGCAGCTCCCTAGCACGGGCTGCAGTTCCCAAGGGACCCTCACCATCCCACAGGACCTGCTCAGATCACTCACCCTGTGACAGTCACCCACCACCACGAATGTGTGCTTGCTCCTCTCAGACCCACTTCTGACCTCTGATCACAACTTGGGTGGGACTTTGTAGCTCCTCAGTCCTGAGACTTTCCTGCTTCTTGGTTAAGTGTTGGTTTTGTCCAAGCAAAGGGGGTGCAGCTGTGGACTTGTTTTCTGAATCAGCTCCATCCCAGTTGAGCCCAGTCCCTACAGAGACATTCTTCCTGTTGGTGCCCAGCACCGATGACAAGTTTCCAGTAGGAGTTGGAACTTACAGACCAGGGCCAAGCCTGTGGCCTGGTTCTATACAGCCAGGGAGTGGAGCATACAATGATTTTTATGTTTTTAATAGGTTGGGGTAAAAACCAAAATATTTTGTGATGTGAAAATTACATGGAATTCAAACCTCAGTCTTCCTAAGAGGTTTTAATGGACCAGCCCCGCTCAACCTTGATGACCGTGGCTGGCTGCCTCCCACTATGACAGAGCTGAGTTCAGGCAGACCTCCTTCATTGTGCTTCACTTCATTCCTTCCTGCAGATATTGTGTGTTTGACAAATGGAAGGTTTGTGGTCACTGAGCAATCTGTGGGCACCGTTTTTCTAGTAGCGTGTGCTCACTTTGTGTGTTTGTGTCCCATTTTGGTCACTTGCCCAATATTTCAAACTTTTTCATAATACTGTTGCACTACAAAAACAAAAACAAACCAAGCTCACTGTCATGGAGTCAATTTCAACTCACAGCGACCCTCATTGGTTTTCTAAGGCTGTAAATATTTATGGAAGTTGATTGCCCTATCTCCCTTTCGTAGAGAAGATGGTAGTTTTGAACCGCTGACCTGGTTAGCAACTAGGCGCCTTCCTTATCCACTGCACCACAAGAGCTCCTTATTGCACTGCAGTACAGTGTAAATATAACTTTAGGGGCAGTGGGAAACCCAAAAGTCATATGACTTGCTTTATTGTGATAGTTGCTTTATTGCTGTGATCTGGAACTGAACCCGCAACATCTCTGAGGTATGCCTGTAGCTGAGAACAGATCCTCTGGGCCGCAAAGCCCAGAATATTTACAACTTGGTCTTCTACAAAACAAGTTCGCTGACCCTAGGTTTAGATGGCTGAATGTTGGACTGCCATTCATTTGAGAGGCCAAAACAGGAGTGTGAACGTTGTGGGCAGCTACTATGGAGTTGCGAGGTCAGGTCCCTTAACTAGCTAGGAGGCCCAGCACCAGAGGTTACCATAGCAGTGGCGACCCCTGCTGGCCCTGAGTGGGAAAGCAGCTTCAGTGCCTGTGGGAAGTTGACAAGCCCATTTATTTATTTATTTATTTATTTATATTGTTAAGAGCTTGTTTTACATTCAACATAACACGTACATTTAGTTTCATTGACAAGTCCATTTTTAACTTTCATCAGAAGATATGCTTTGGGCAATTAAAACTAAACAACGGCATTTCAAAAGCCAAGGTAAGCATGCTTGCTCCCCCGCCCTCACTGTAAAGATGCCAGGTCTGTCCATGCGTTTCTCTCTGGCTTGACTTTGCATGCAGATTGTAAACTGGCCCCGGGATTCTGTCCCTCCTGCTCCTGCCATGGAAAAGCCACCCTCCCCGAGAGAGCACCTGCTTCTTCATATGAGGGCCCAGGAGAACCTGCCTGCCTCCTGCCTCGGGCTCGGGTCTCTGCAGCATGTCCTGTGCTACAGGGTGAGTGAAAGGCTCCCAAGGGCCGAGCTACCACTCCTGCTGCTGCCTAGTGGGGCGGGCTGACCAGTTAGCTGGGAAATATGACCCCTCTTCTACAACAGATCAGAAAACTGTAATGGGGTTTAGAAGATCCCGACTGTGGATTAGGAGAAAATGGGGAATACTGTAAGGTCCCTGGGTGGTGCAAGTAGTTTGCTCTTGGTTATTGGCCAAAAGGTGGGTGGTTCGAGCTCACCTAGTGCTATGGAAGAAACGCCTAGTGACCTCCTCCTGTACGCTGCCGCCAAGGAAACCCCACAGAGCTCTAACGTGTGAGGTCACCATGGGTTGGAATCAAGTCAATGGCATTGGTTTTTTTTTGATTTGGGTAATACTGGTCATCCAAACGTTGCAACATGAAATCTCAACACCTCATCGTATACATATCTCCTGACAGATGAGTGTTTCTTTATAAGGCTAATAATTACACCTTCCAGTCCCACTTTGCTGCCTGCTAACTCTGAGTTATTTATTTGCACTTATCCTTCAGATTAGGAGCTCTGGTGGTGAAGTGGTTAAGCATTGAGCTGCTAATCAAAAGGCGGGTGGTTTGAACCCACCAGCTGCTCCATGGAGGAAAGATGAGGCATTCTACATCCATAAAGATTTAGCCTTGGAAACTCTATGGGGCAGTTCTACACTGTCCTATAGGGTTACTGTGAGTCAGAATAGACTTGATGGCAGTGGGTTTTTTGGTCCCTCAGATTTGGGAGATTTGGTGGGCGAGGAAACACAGCACTTCAGTTCTCTCTGCCATCTTCTGGCTCATCGGGAAGGGAAACACGTCTACTGCATCTGCGTGTGGTTGCTTCCAAATGGTGCCGAGTGTAGATCTCTCTGCTCTGCAGGAGAATCAATGTTTCACAGAAATGGAGGGAGGGAGGTCTTCATTTTCTTGTAGTTGATTTTCTTGGCCTTTGGAAACTCACAGCCTTGCTCTGGGATAGTTAGTGCTGGTCTCAAATCCCAAGGTCCCTTGCAGGCCTGAAATGCAGCTTCATGTATAAGCAGAAACACTTGCCATCTTGAGATAGACAGCTAAAGATTCCGTGTGACTCCCTAGATGGACTTTTCTCTTGATCTTAAAATTTACAGAAAACGTCATGCTGTGAACTGTCTTTTTTAGTGTCGAAGAATGGGCCATTATGCCAGTATGTGCCTAAGACCCACCTGGTAGAACCTGCCAAAAACTAGCCCATTGGTCTGGGCAGTGGGAAGACCCACTAGTGAGGACACCTTGTGGCCATACTACGGGATCTCCAGTCCCCAGCGCCCAGCCCGCTGCCATCCTCAACAGCACACAAGGTGCAGAAGCAGCCTGCTACGTTTAGGTTTGCTTCCTTTTATTCTGTAAGTCAATGGACCTAAAAATGCAACAGAATCGGAGGCAAGGCTGACTGGCAGGAAGAGTTATCCATGAAGTAGGAGAGCAAAATATATGTAAAACCAAAAGCTAGAGTATATGGGAAACACTTAACTCTTCTCTTTTGCTAAGCTCCTGTGCTGCTAGTCAATGCTGGGTTGCACATGGCAGTTCTCATACATATGGCCTCACATGCTGCTCTGAACTGGCAATTTAATTAAATGGTTTTCTTTAGCATGACAGCTGCTTCCCTGCATGGTTCATTTAAGAATATATTCTGTGCATGCCTCATGCAGGGGTACGATGGGGAGGTAGATGGTAGAGGAAAGGCTTATCCTGGGGAAGGCACATGACACGCAACATTTAATGTTACACCATCTATGCCATCCTGGAAGCCAAAGATTCATGCAGTTTAATACACAAAGTTGAACCTTCTGGAGGAATTTTCAGAGATGAGCAAGAATATGAGGCAACAAGTGGTAACAGCCACCCTTGCTGTGGTGACCTGCCCGGCCTGGGGCTGCCTGGGACGGAGACAGGCCATCTAAAAGAATGCAGGGGTGAACTGCAGCTCCACCCTGGGCTGCCAGGTGACAACTTCCAGCATTCTGCAAAATGTGCATTGTGACAGCACTGTTGGAGGGTTAGGATAAGATGCACGCAATGAGCTCCCCACAGCACCTGGCATCAAGCAAGCCCTCGAGGGCTAGCTGGACTCAAGGCTGGTGTGGGCGTGGTGCTGGCTCTCTCATTGGGCAGTGTATGGGCTGTAAAAGGCTTCATGCTGGAGTTCCTATTGTTCGTCAGCCCTGGCTGGAAACAACAGCTACAGAGTGCTGATCTCACCAACTCTCTGCATGGGAGGGATGACTAGCTTCCCTTGATGGCTGGGTGAATGAAGTGCCCGTCAATCAGCCACCTTGCCCAGGACACACCCTCATTTCACAGGTGTGGTTTGGGAGATGGCTTAAGGCTGTCTAGGAGGTAGCGGCGGGGATGTGAGGAGGAACATGTGGCATGGAGGTCTTGTGGGCAGAGTTCGGATAGAGGCATCTGTAAGCCAGAAAGAAGAAAGAACTGACAGGAACAGAGGCGGGAGACAGGATCCCCAGAAAGTATAACATGTCTCATGAATAACACAAGATAATTTTATTTTTTATAGTGAAATATCTTAAAGTGTATTAAAACCGCGCTTTCCCAGTAACCTTGCTCTCTTAGATATTAATACTCGGGACTAGAGGGAAGCAGGTAGTGGCAGCGTCATCACCTTACACGGAGCGTGTGTCCAGTCAGGGTGGCAGGCATGCCCACAAACGTTTGTTTCTAATGTCTGCTAACAGAGCCTTCACCACAAGGCTTCTTAAGGACGGGGAGAGCCTGGGTGTCTTTCCAAGGACTGACGGAAGGTGCTAGGGACTGCCTGTGTGGATGCTCACACGGAATTTCTATGCACATGGCTGGAAGGCTTGTTGCTTACCTGGGGACACGCCTGCCAGTGCCACAGGAGAGGTGCGACAAGATCGGAAGAGACAGAATAGAGGCAGCGGCTTCCAACGGTAAGTCAGGTGGAAACTTTCTTGCCGTCTTTTCCCCTGGGCTGGGATGAGGAGTGACTCCTGCCTCACACTTGAAGCCCACTGGCTTCTGCAGGCAGCCAGGTTCTCACTCGTCTAGACCCAGAACCGCTAGTCATCCTGGATGAAGCCTTTAATTGGCCAGATCACGTACACAGCTGGGTGTACTTGTATGTATGTACAACAAATTATCCTCATAAAGCAAGTTTACATCAACATTGCAAACTGGAACTATGAGGTAAAGTCCTTGATCATGCTGAGTTTGTTTGGATCTGAATCTAGAAAAAGAATCAATCAGTTATAAACTCAATAATTCAAATGATTTTGAGCATCATAACCTAAGAAACCAAACCCACTGGCACTGAGTCAATCCTGGCTAATAGTGACCCCATAAGACAGAGTACAACTGCCCCATGGGGCTTCCAAGGCTGTTAGTCTTTATGGAAGCAGACTGCTTCACCTTTCTCCCAGAGCAGCAGGTGGATTTGAACTGTCTACCTTTTGGTTACCAGCTGAATGCCTTAACTACTGAGCCACCAGAGCTCTTTTGAACATGATAAAGATCCTTAAAAGACTTGATAAAAAGGCCTTTGATTATTTTCCCAACCAGAGGGCAGCAAAGGGCAGATGCAGAAACCCCTCCCTCCTGCTTGTGGACGCAGCCCAGCAGCTGCTGCAGGATCTGGAGGGGTTTCTGATGGCCCCTAAGTCACCCCCATCATTTCAGAATCAGTTCCCAGCATCCAACTTCAAGAAGGTAGTCACGTTTTCCTGGCCTTTCGTAATACACACCACGAGCTCATGGGGACTACCAGGTATTGAAAGTTTTTCTTGGGAAATTTCTCTGTCCAATAGATAGATAGAGCGTTTGATTTCCTATTTATCACACCTAAGAGTTGGGAAGGATAACAAGGAGAGCTTGTAGGATATCGAGAGGCTTAAACTACTAAAATGAACAGTTTTGGGGAAGGGGAACTATGAACACAGAATGGTTCCCCATGGGCTCCTCCTCAGAAAGGGCAGCAAAGAGCAGAATGAGTGAGGGACCCAGGTGGTTCAGGGGGCAACTCCAGGCTCTAAGAAAACTGAGAACATTGAGCCAGGCTTTCCTATTTAAATGTGTTTCTTAACTCAAACTGCTTTAGAGATGCGATCCCGTCTCTTTTGATCACTCTATCACCCCTGGAGAGCCTGAGATCTCATTCCTCTAGGGCAGGGGTCAGCACACTTTTTCTGCCAAGGGTCAGATGGTATTTTTAGATTTGTAGGCCATACGGTTTCTGTCAGAACTACTCGGCTCTGCCACAGCCAATACCAAAATAAATAAGCAGGGCTGTGTTCCAATACAACTTTATTTACAAGAACAGGTAGTGGGCTGGATTTGGCTGCAGGCTTTGGCAGTCTGATGACCCCTACTCAAGGGGGCTGAGGTAAAGAGGATGTAGTTGAAAGGTAATTCTGATCACCACTTTCACTGTAAAAGATCTGGACATAGAGAAAGAGAAATGGAGGAGGAACAGGGAGAACATCCAAGTGTCTCTCTTATAGGACATTTACGGAGAATGGGCACAAAGTCCTTTCAAAAGGAAAGAGACAGCTGCTGGGGTTCCAATGAAGTCCTTGGAAATACTGAACTGAACTAACTACATGCAGGACTCTTCCTCTAATCATGACTTTTTCTTCATGTAGAGTTATATGATACAGGGAGAGTACTGAACACCTTTTCCTTGACCAGGAAAATCTGATGTAGGATTAAATTATTCTGTCTGGCGATAACTAGAGAGAGGGAAGAACAGGGCTTGGAAATCGAAAAGGTAGATAAAACAGAGACTATCATCCAAGTTTTGGGCAGATGGAAGGCAGCTCTGTAGAAGTAAGTAAATCCTGGCCTCGGACAAGCACTCCCTTCCTGCAGGTCGGGGGGAGCTGAGCAGACAGGCTTGCCATGTGGATTCTGGTGTCACAGCAAAGCTAAGACTGTCTAACCAAGCCCCTGGGTCGAGAGAGGCTGGAGAAATTATCAATGCTGTCAAGGTTAGAGTAAAGCTGCTTTTTCAACTTTCCAATTTACTCTTTCCCTCAGGAACCAAAGTCGGAGTCATAGGGTTAGAAAGGCACTGACTATGTCCGTGGGGGTGAGACACAGAATCTATAAGGATTTATACGTTTCACTGAATTCCTCTGAAAAGGGGTCAGAGCGGGATTCTGAGGGTTCCAGTAAGAGGTAAGAAACAGAAGATATGTTCACTGTTGGTTATACCCAAAAAGCGTTAAAAGGTGACTACTCTGCTTAGAGTGCAGCCTCATTTCAATCAGCTTACTGGACAGTCGGGCGGGCTTTTCACAGGGTGACACGCTTACCCCACCCTGCTGTCCTTACCCCACCCTGCTGTCCTTACGCTTTTAGGCTTCTTAACCGTCAAGATCTGATTGAGGAGCTAAGAAAGCCCAGCCATCCCCAGGGGAAGGACGGCTCTATGCTGGATCCCTGCCGATTCAGAAGCTATCTTTCATCAGTATAGATGCGGCCTTGTGTCTAGTACCATACCAAGGTTTAGCGGACAATTTTAAGGAGAAAGATTTAAAATCTAGGTATCAGTTTTTCTGAGAATTGAGAAACAGTGGTTGACACATGTCAACAGTGTACTCGGTCATCTCCAGGTCGCCTTCAATTACAGTCCCTCTTGAGACAAACATATCCAGACAGAACCAGATCTATCCACATGAAATATTTACTTCCTATGGAACTTTTTAGAGCCCATCATTTTATTCTTGGTACGCCTTCTCCCTGCCCCAGGACAGGTTTAAACTGTCTGCAGTCGTCTCTCTGGTCTTCTCCGTGGGGGTCCACAGCTTCCTGCAGTGGTGTCCCCACCATGCTACCTGCGCCAGCGTTGCGGCTCTTTGAATAAAGAGAGACAGACGTAAGGCTCCGAGAGGCCGCTTCCAGCACTGGCTGCTACACACCACTCCACTGCACTCCTGCCTGATCCATGTGGAATGAAAGGTCTCAGGCAGAAGGAGAAGTTTCTGCTTCACTTTCCTGAGTTCTAATTTAGAGATGTGAAAAGTAGCTTGGGGCTGAAAATGAGCCGACCCTGTGGGAAGGCCTCTTCCCTGTGGGAGCAAGGAGTCTTGGCCAACCTCTCCGCTGACACAGAGGAACTCCTCTGTCCCAACAGTGACCACCAGGTGGGTGACTGCAGAGCAGCCAGCCCACTATCAGTGTATGTGGCTTGCTGCAGCCTGCTCATGCTGCTCGGCCTGCCCGTCAGTGAGCCAAAAAACATTGAGTCAAATTGAGACTTTTCAGAAGTGTTATTACCTAGTTTGTGAATTAAATTGGTCTTTAGTGCTCATAGGTGCTCTGGTGGCGTAGTGCCTAAGGCATTTGACTGCTGACCAGAAGGCTGGCGGTTCAAACCCACCAGCCACTCCTCGGAAGGAAGATGGGGCAACCTATTTCTGTAGTGATACTGCCTTGGAAACCCAAGGAGAGGTCAGTATAAGTCAGATCTGACTCAACGGCAGTGAGTTTTAGTGCTCATAGGAGCCCGATGGCACAGTGGTTAAGTGCTCAGCTGCTAATGGAAAGGCTGGAGGTTTGAATTCCCAGCTGCTCTGCAGGAGAGATGATAGTCTGCTTCTGTAAAAATTACAACCATGGAAACCCTATAGGACAGTTCTACTCTGTCCCCTAGAGCCACTGTGAGTCAGAATCGACTGGAAGGCAGTGGATTTGGTTGGGGCTTTGCTTCTATAAAGATTGACAGCATTGGAAACCCTACTGGGCAGTTCTATTCTGTCCTCTAGAGGCACTGTGAGCTGGAATCTACTTGATGGCAATGATTTTATTTTTTTCTGGTTTTGGTTTTAGTGCTCATAGTTATCTAACTGTACCTGCACACCAAAGTTTTTATCTGAAAATGTCTAGGCTTTTTTTTTTTTTTTTTTTTTAAATGGTATCCTGCTAAGGATACAAGGAGCCCTGGTGGTGCAGTGGTTAAAATGCTCAGCTGCTGACCGAAACGTCAGTGGTTTGAACCCACTGGCCCATCCGTAGGACAAATATGTGGCAGTCTGCTGCTGAAAAGATTACAGACTGGGAAACCTTGTGGGGCAGTTCTACCCTGCCCTATAGGATCACTGTGAGTTGAAACCAACTCTATGGCAATGGGTTTGGCTAATGAAATACTGTCACAATGCCGTATTTCAAAAGTTAAAATGAACAAAAGTTAGTTGGGCATAAAAAGAGAAAGAAAATGCAGGCATTTTCCTTGTGATAGGTCTTGGTGCAAGCAGAAACTTAAAAGGTTTTCTTTTTTTTTTTTTTTAAATGGTCAGAGTAAAGGCTTAGACACACTTATGAGTGACGGAGGTAGTCTGTTCTGCCTTCTCTTTTGGGGTACGATAAAGTTTGCTAGATTCCATCCTAAAAAAGGAGTTCTGAGGCAGGAATTAAAAAGTCACCAAGGGGACAAACCCTGACCTTCTAGCAGGGAAATAGCTGGAAGGATAAAACATAGGGCCACCAGATTTCCAGTGACACCATTAAATGGGGCATAAGAGCAATTGTGTAAATCCGAGTCAAGTCTTAGAAAGGCCATTACAACCAAAACCTTGAATAAAAAAAACCCCCAGAGCTGCAGGCACATCCCACTGGGGTATACACAAAGCCAGCCTGAGAATCCCTCGGAGATCCCTATAATGGGGCTAAAAATACAGAAAGCCTTACTCAGATGCCCGAAGCTCCACTTGCAACAGAGCACGAAGTATCCCGTAAAGAGCACTGTGACACCGCCCAGGCCCCTCCTCGTGATGGTACTGCACCGGCTCCACCCTGTTTAAAGAGAATAGTCTTTACGGTGACTGTCCCCTTGAGGCCATTGCCTGACAGCCACGTCCCTCACTCCAGCTGCCCTCACTCCAGCTGACAGAGTGATGGGATTCTAATTCAAAGAATGGAACAGTCTGAGTATGGAATTTATGAATCTGGAAAGAAAATCTGAGAATCTAGTCCAAGCCACTATGTATGTATTTTTTCAAACAGATGAAAAGGCTAAAATCCAGAAGACCTTAACTTTAATGAAATCCACATTAGTTACTCTTATTTTTTTGGGAGCTTAGCTAAAATGTTTAGTGGGGAGGAGACTGATATGGTTGCTTAACTGGAGGGTTAGGGTCTTGGCTTTTGGAATAAGGCATGTCAATGTGGGCGAGGAAGCGGCGGGGAATTAAAGGACAGCTGTTCAATAAATGGTAGCTGCTACTGTATTATCCTTGGTACTTTCTACTACATCAATCTCCAAAATAAAAATCGACAAATACAAGAGTAGGAAGATGACACAATTTTTTTCCTCCTTTTCTTCAGCCTCACTGTAACAATCATGGCTGAAGTGAGAGAATTTTCTCCAAATGCTTGGAACCAGCAACACAAAAGCCACCAGCTCCAGCCTCACCTTTTTGTAGCGCTCCCAAGAGCCTCAGTAGGGAGAAGCTGGAGGTTGCAAGGCTGGTCGGGTGTTCCCAGATCCTTCTGTCAGTTGTACTTCTTTCCAACCAAAGAACTATGGTTCCAAACAGAAGTTAGTGTGACAGGCCATGTCAGCTCATCCCCTCCCCACCACGCGGTCCTAAAGGTTCTGGGGCTGGCCTCAGGAAAAGGCAGATTCATGTTTAATTTGGGCTGCAGGTAGCTAGAAGTGTCACAAGTCAAAGCAATCTATTGCTGGTCAGATTAAGGTTCTCTGAAGGCTGAGGGAGTCTCCAGGGACAAGGAACGACACATAGTTCTGATGTGATGAATATACTGATTCCATGAATATACTGGTCCATGTGCATGCTTAATGAAATGACTTGTTTATATTTCCTGTCATCTGGTAAACATAAACGTAACAAACATGACTTTCTACTATTGTGATATTTACTGCTACAAGTTTTTAATTACGGTGTTGGCATAGAATACTGAATATTACCACAGACTGCCAGAAGAATGAACAAATCTGTCTTGGAAGTAGTACAGTCAGAACGCTCCTTAGAAGCAAGGATGACAAGACTTTGTCTCACATACTTTGGACATCTTATCAGGAGTGCCCAAATGCCTAGAGAAGACCATCATGCTTGGTAGAGGGCTAGCAAACAAGAGGAAGACCCTCAGGAGATGGATTGACACAGTGGTTACAATGGGCTCAAACACAGCAATGACCATTGTGAGGATGGCAAAGAACCAGGCAGTTTCACTGTTGTACATGGGGTCACAATGACTCTGAACCTATGTGACAGCCCCTGATAACAACACTGCTAAGAGTCACTACTACCTACAGTCAACACGTCTATTGTTGGGTGCCATCAAGTCAATTCTGACTCAGTGACCTCATGTGACAGAGAACTGCCCCATAGGTTTTTATAGATATAATCTTTCTGGAAGATCTGGTAGTGCGGTGGTTAAGGCATTCAGCTGCTAACCGAAAGGTTGGTGGTTTGAACCCAGAGGCTCTGCAGGAAAAAAATGAGGCAGCCTGCTTCTGTAAAGACTACAACCTTGGAAACCCTCTAGGGTAGTTCTACTGTCCTACAGGGTTACTGATAGTTGGAATTGACACGATGGCAGTGGGGCATCCTTACGGGAGCAGCTCACCATGTCTTCGTCCTGCAGACCAACGCTGTTGTTAGGTGCCATCGAGTCGACTCCAACTTGCAGCGACCCTATGTATCACAGAACACTGCCTAGTAGTGAGTTATACTCACAATCCTTGCAGAGCCACTGGGCAGGTTCAAATCAACCTTTTAGTTAGCAGCCAAGCACTTAACCATGATGTCACAGGGCTCCTTCTGTGTCTATCACCCTGTCATTATTGGTGACTGGCAAACTTTTCTCATGTATGTTTAATATGTGAATATCTGAAACGGAACCAGCAAAGAGGGCTTTTGCTGCTCAGTCACATTTTCCTATACTGCTTTCCTCTGTGTTTGATGACAGGGAGGTGTTCTCTACTATTGCTGGTTCTCTGGGTTTGGCTTAGTTGCCAGAATAAGGATGAATTAAGCAAATATTTATGACAAGTTTCAGCAGGTATGTGGGTGTAAAAAACTACTACCCAAATGATCATGATTAAATAACAAAAGAGGCAAACTGTCTTCCAAGAAATCACACAGGACAGTTCTCTCGCAAGGTGATGGGAACATTAAACAAGCATGACATCACTCATTCACCTCTGGAACAATCTGTAGGAGAAAGTGGGGAGACCACGCCATGGAAACCACGACTCCGCGGCCGCCTTCTCCAGTGTCAGGCACCCTGACTCTGGGACCTGTCTGTGGCTTCTCCTTGGTCAGTTGAGCCTATTTATCTCCAGCTGCAGGTGCAGCCAAACTTGTCCGCATGTCAGTCCCCAAGCTGGGACCATCTAAGGAGCCCACAGGCAACAACAGGCCGGATCAATACCCACTGAAGCCCTGTTCTTGCTTTCTTCAATGACTTCTTGCCTGCTGCCCAGGCACTCTGGGCTCGCTCTCCCTTCCTCACGGCCTGACTGGGTTCCAACTTGGGCTCAGTTATCTGTGGGCCCAGAACTGCCACACCCTCTGCCATCTCATCTCCTAGATAGTTTTTACCTGCCAGTGTCCATGCCCTTGCATTTCAAACCCAACTGACATGGCTAAACCTCCAATGACCAATGGCTCCATTCTCTCCAACAGCTGAGAATCCTCCCACAGCCCTGTACCTCTAATGTGTTCCACCCATCCCTGGGGTAGTCTGAATCTGACATAAGACTTGACTTAGCCCTTGTGTGTCTGGCTGTAGGTGATTCATGGGCTCTATTTTTCTGACTGATGCCTAGAGCTGTTCTCTTGTACCTAAATGCCCCCCCCCGCCCCCCCCCGTGAACTCCTGGGGCTAACCATGGACCCGTCCTGGCTCATCCCTGTTCAAGTTCTGAGCCTAGCATTTGAGCCCCTCACCCAGCATGTGCCTCATCTCACTGTTAGGTTCATTAGGGTGTGTGTATGTGTGTTTATATGATTAAACACACAGATGTACAGAGACATCTCAAGCACCTGTGCTTCTAGGGGTGGTATGTTTTCTACAATATGATTTCATGCAAAAAGATTGATCTAGACCTCAGAGACCAGGCTCTAACAAGTTTTTCAGGTGTAAACCGAGTCTGAGTTTCTTTAGGTCTCCTGTCAAAATAAATCTAGAAACACCAAAGAACATAACACTTCATGTTGTATGACACTAAAGTACTGAATAAGCACAAATTATAGACCTGTAAACAATAAAGTGAAACAAAGCAGTTTCCTAGCACATTTCTGAGGAAACTTAATGTTGAAAGGAAAATCCTATTTTCTTCCTCCTTACTCAGTCTCATAAGACTGCATGCTACTTTAGCTAGGCTCCTAGAAAACCAAAACAAACCGTTTCCTGGGGAGGGAAATGAACAAATTTTGTATATTCTAACTAGAGAGACAGGGGAGTACCAAATGATGGGCTTTAGCAGAAGAACGTGAGGATGCCGGTGATGAGGGTCAAGAACTTCCTAGTTCCTAACTGGAGCCTCAGTCTCACCCACACCTGAACTTTTTCTGGTCATTGACAAAGAATATCTAAGGTGCTTCAGAAGCTGATTCACAATTCAAGATCAGTTTTCATGTCCTGCCTCTTTGTCCAAGTCCTACTTCTCACTGTATCTCTCACATCTTGGGGCTCCATCTCCGGTTTCATCCACATATTCTGATACCCTATTCTTGGGTCCTAATCTCTGGCCTTATTGTTCTAGTGCATGGACTTCTATACCTTTTCTGTCATAACCTGGATTTCTGGTCTTTGACCTTCATCAGCTCATCTCTTGAACTCCACTCCTATCTGCCTTGACTGCCATTCCTCCCCAGCAAGATGTAACCCTGTTCTCCCAGCTCCCAAAACAGCTGCTGCTTGTACCTTCCTTGCTACTGTAAATTCCCAAATGTTGCTGGAACTGATCTCTTGTATAGTCTGGTTCAGACTGAACTCTGAACAAAGTACTTGTCCTACTTAGGTGGACTGTGAGGACTTTATGCTCTTTTCAAGTCTGTATGCCTTGTATATCCACCTACTTTCTACCAGCCATGCCTTTTGCCAATGCAGAACTTCAGTTGCTGAGTATTCTGTCTGACCCAGTGCAACCTCCAACTCTTGATGAAAGGAAAGGGAGAGTAAGAAACCACTACTAGTTACTCTGGAGCAAGAAGTAATGCCTTCAGAACGATTATGAGACCAACGCACTGGATGACCTCAGAAAAAAGAAGGTAAATCAGTGAAGATACTAGTATTTTGAACCTTATTTACCCAAAAGACACAGTGTTTGAATGGGCAGAACAGCCCTTGAAAATGAGCTTGTTTACCTTGTGAGAGTCTTTCTCCCTTGGGACTGATGAATCGAGGCTTCTGGGCCATTGCATTCCAGTACTGAGGTTTCCCTGGCAACACCCCAAGTCCAAGGTAACCGGGATAGAGCTCTGGAAACCACTCCAGCCCCATGGAACTGGGAAGGGCCCTTTTGTCAGCAGCATCAACATGATTGGTGAAGGGAGTTTTAGGAGTGTGATGCCAGGTCAGATTTACAGGTTTCTGGTGTCTGGTGTGTAAGGCGTGGCACTGATGGGAAGCTCTGGGCTCTAGAGAAGTCTGGCCCTTACCCTCCATTAATGTCTGTATACCAGTGACTTGATGCTGAACACGGCCTTCTTTCTCCTCTTGAAGAAATTTTATAGCCAGTGAGCTAAGACTTTCATGACTTGACTGTAATGCAGAAAGGAACTCATTGCGAGGTGTCCCCTGCAAAGTGGACAGATTTAAGTATGGACCTTCATCTTGACATTTCTTCTCTGTGGCTGAGTCATCAGTACTGGGGTTCTTAGACCCATCACTCCTGGAAGTCCAGGCCGGCATTGTGCTCACAGACAGACTTTTCTCTGCATTTCCTTTGCTCCCACATACCTCTACTCCAAAGTGAAGCTCTTTTTCCTTCATGTCAAACATGATGACTTTGCTCTCTTCAACTCGGATTTTACCTAATGGGTTAACTCTAAGGCCTAAAATGAGTGAGTCTAGGTTCTTTTCCTGAGTCTCAGAGTTTCTTACGTCAGTGGGAAATTCTGAGAGGTGATCTCTGCTCTCACTGCTTGACAGTGATGTTCTCACTGTTTTAACCCCATCATTGAGTCTCACAGGAAGACTAGGATAATCAGTAGGCACATCTAATGCTTTTACTACAAGCTCTTCTCTTGGGAGGTCTCTGCTGTCCAGTTTCAGATGAGCAGATGGGGTCTGCACATTCCTAGGTAAGCCTGGGCAATATCCTCTCTCTTGATTTGGTGAAAATGTTTTGGCAGGATTACTTCTGTCCCCTGATTTAGGCAAATTGCTGGCAAGTTCTCTCTCAGGAGAGGTGTTCTCTGATGCATACAACTGAGCCTTAGTCTCTCCTTGGAAAGTAATTTTTGGTCCAGTGTTTTTCAGTATTTTGGGGGAAAACTGAATTTGATTCTTGATGTATTTATCAGTGTTTTTATTACTTGCTTTTTCCAAACCTAGTAGTGGAAGGGGCTTAATTGTCCCTTCTGGCTTCTTTCTTATCAACTTAGTATTTCTTTCCTTACTCTCTCTCTTTAGATTGGCCTCTTCTGCTTTGATTACTTCTTTGGCTGGCCCCTTCCTTTTGTTAGCATGAGAGAGGACAGCTGGCTTGGCCTGACAGCCTTCTGGCTCTGCAGGTATAGTCGTTCCTATCTTCTTACAGTACGGCAAGTGGGATTTTAATCGTTTAAATGACTTCTTACAATAGGGACACACTTCCATTCTGGGTGGAGTGTCACTCATCCTCTTCCTAAAAAAAGGCAAACATGAGATTAGGAGGAGCACATCATTTGTTGATTAATAAGCCAGTGTTTTATCTATGTGTTGTACCTTTTCAATTCATCTGGGACAAACTAGGTTGAAGGATATTTAAAAAACTGATCTTGATCCCCTTTTTCTTACAGAGAGAGAAAAGAGATGACATAGTTTGATTCTGAGATAAACATGCCTGGCCTGTTTCTGCTCTGTACTTTACATACCTGGAAATTTTCTAACAATCAATTGGTGACAAAGGACAAAGAATTTTCAGCAACTTTAACCCTTTTAATACTGAATTATTTTTTGTAAGAGTTTGTAGATACATGTATTTTTTCTTGGCAATGGAATACATACTGAATCACTAAACGTTTTTAAAATTTTGTTAGGTATGATGGATTCTGATAAATATTATATAGGACACATATATCCCGATGGACTATGGTGGTAAGATATGTAGGATGAAGAGGCATGGAAAAAACATTTACTTGAATATTACCTGATGCAGAACACGGCACCTTCCTGATAACACACAAGAGACAGTAAATATACTTACAAGCCTTATCATGCTGTATAGAAGCCTGAAGAGACAAAAGTTTTATACAATCACTCCTCTAGGCTGCATCATATCATACAAGAACCTCTCAACTCATCAACATGTCATTAGCGAACAACTGCTCTTGTATGCAGTTACACAAGTCCCTGCCCTGACGCCAGCACGTACTAGGGAAAAAAGTCTCCCAAGAAACCCCAGTAACGGAAAATGTAAGAAGTACTTATATGTACCATGGGTTACAAAAAGAAGGTTAGAAAGGAGGAGGTGACAAGGTCAAAAGACATATGTTGAATAAACTAATGGTTAGACAAAAAGATATTCAAAATACCGGTCAGAATAAAATGTTTACTATTTATGATTATAGCAAATCAATTGAGTATCACACAACAATACAGAAACTTGTAATAACCCTTGAATATATACATAAACACATAAACCCCTGAACACATCTCTCAAGGACAGAAGAGCGGGGAATAAAAAACTCAGGATTTGAAGGCTGCTGATTTAGAGCAGTAGTTTTCAAAGTGGTAATATGGAGATCCATTGGTGTGCAAGCAGAGAATGTTACAACTACCACATATTTTAAAATGAGAAATGAAGCTCTACTAGTATTTCACATGTTAGTAACACACATACATACACAAGAAACGGAAATACAGTGTACAGATGAGGAGCCTGGGGGCACAGTGGGGAAGCGATCATCTGCCGACAGAAAAGGTGGTGCTGATGTTCTGAAGGATGTGGCAGTCGGCTTCCATAGAGATTACAGCCTTGGAGACTCTATGGGGCAATTCTACTCTGTCCTCTAGGGATCCTAGGAGTTGGTATGGACTTGACAGCAGTGGTTTTTGTAGTGTACGAGTATGTAAATACATTCATAGGGGAGGGCAGGGTCCCAAATCTTTTACTGATGGTCTGCACAACAGTGGGTTGTTGGCAATTTTTAAAAATTTGGTATCTTTGTGAAATTTATACAACATGTGATTTGTACCTCTTTTTCTTCTCTAAAGTAAGGAAATGTTTAATTCCAAAGCTCACTTTATTCTTCCTATAACGTCCCAGAGGACAAGGAGCATATGTGTCCTTGAGCTCAGCTGTATTCTAAATCCTAGCCTTGAGCCTGGTATATAGTATATGCTGAGTGAATTCTTTCTCTATACAGAAACACACAAATATTATTAAAATGTACTGTGAGTGAAAACATCTTCTGATTACTAAACAGATCCAAAAAGTAAGACTTTGAAACTACTTACAAAATAAATAGATGCAATCCTGGTTAAACCATTGATCAAAGTAACCAACCCACTTTATTCTATGGAGTCACACAAAACAAAACTACGTTTTCTACCAACAGACTTCACAGTAACTTATTCTTTTTTGAAGGGGCACATTTGATAGTATGATGAAAGATTACGAACCCTTTACTTACAAAAATACACACCCTTGAACTCCACCCATGGGCCTCCGCCTAATAACTTTAGAAGAAAGACTTGAGAGCTGTTTCACGTTTCTCCCTCTACGTACTCCACCCCACACGTAAACCCACTGGGAAGATCTCAGGACACTTACACGGTAACGTCTTAACGTGAGCGCCTAACTGCTTTCTTACCGGGTCTCCTCTAGAAGGATGCTAATTTGGCAGTTGTTTCTCTAGGTTTCCCATAATTCACGATTATCGTTCCCGAGTTTGGCAGAATTAAGCTGTACTCTAATGTGACCCTCTGTAAGACACAATCAGAGAAGTAACTCGACAGCACAGACACATAGTCTGAATCGAATGCAGCATGGTCTGAATCGAATACAAACTGCATGTTTCGGAAAGCACAGAGTTAAGGCTTGGCCGTTTTTCCGGGCACAGGGCCGATCTCTTAGCGAATCTTCGGCACCACCTCCTCCCATCCTCATTAAATTGCCAGCTCTCCCTGCTCCCTTATTCAGAAAGTCGTCCTGATGCTTCCTGCAGGATGGACAGAGACAGCTGGGCATCTCCTCGGTCAGGGGCAGGCTAGGGTGTCGAGGGGGCTCGTTCCCCGCGGCTCCGGGAAACCTCTCCGCCTGGCCCCGGGACCCGACCTGCTCTTCTCTCGCCCAGGACACTCTTCCCCGGAGGCCTCCTTTGAGACTTACCCAAGAGCGGGGTCCTCAACTCAGAATATTTAACACTCCAGGAAGCCCCAGCGACAAGCCCCTCAGGGCAGTCCCACAAGCCCCTTCCCAACCCCTGGTCGCGGGACCCGCTGCAGGCTGTCTCCACAACTGCCTGATCGTTCTCAATGCTATTTTTTAAAAGCTACCTCAGGGGGACTTACTTCAAATATCTGTGTCGTATGATGAGGACATAATTTAATTTAAACCTGGCTTGACTTTCATACTGCTCACCTAAGCTATGAACAGGCGAAAACTTGGGCCAGCTCGAATGAGGTCCACTCTCCCAGAAACCACCGGTCGTTCCTCCTCCTTAGAGCCCACCTCTTCTCATGGGCGGGGTTACCGGTCGGCGCAGTCGGGCTCGTGCTACTGCGCAGCCGCAAGAGGGCGGGACCACAGCAGCTGCGACATGGGGGGGCGCGGAGGAGACGCCGGAAGTAGCGGTGGTACTGGTCCCACTGAGGGGTACTCACCTCCCGCAGCGTCTACCCGAGCGGCGGCTAGAGCCAAGGCCCGAGGGGGTGGGCGTGACGGCCGCCGAAACGCAACATCCTCTGTTCCCTCTTCTCGCGGAGCGGCGCCCCATCGCTCCCCTCCACCAGCTGCCATGAGCGAGCGCCTTCGCCCCAGGTAGGGGAGAAGAGACCCCCCTTCCTTCCTAACCCTTCGCCTGGTGATCTGGAGGATGCAGTCGAGGAGGCGCACGAAGCGGGGGTCCTAGCAAGCGGGGACCCTGTGAGTCTCCTGGGGTTCCCTGCAGTCTAGTGGAGGAGGGGAGAGGGATGCGCGAGTGATCGGATACTAGATTCCTGTGGACTGTTGGAGGAGTGACTCTCCAGCGTCCAGGTCGACCCTTTTTATGTTTCTTTCCTCTCTTGTGCCATTTGGAACAAAGTCTAGTCGGTCCCCGAAGAGAGAGAGTGGCCCTAAAGATTCTCTGTCCTAAATTTAGGAGGATGGGGGGATGGGAGGAATCTTGGTACCGGAGCCCTTAGGGCTCCCGTGAGGGGACGAGGCGGGGATCTTCGCAAGGTCAGAAAGAGGGATTGGGTTTAGCTCAGCAGCAGGGGAGGATTAGGTCAGGCAGAAGAACTTGTGCCCTGGCAGCTAGTGACCAGAGTGGGCTGGGGGGTCTTTCTTGCCTGTAGCCTACCGAGCAGGCAGGATTCTAAACTGTTTGGACGCGGAGCCGTTTGGAGGTAGGATAATATCCTTTCGGCAAGGCTGGTGTCCGGACAGCCCTCTTGAAACCGAGGGGTTTAATGCTCGACGGGTACGGAGTAGAGGTCAGAGGTCAGGACAAGCTGGGACTTTTTTCTTTCCATCCTCCCCCCTCTTAATTTTCTCTGGAAGAAGGTGGGGAGGAGAAAGTCGGGATTGGATACCCCAGAACGAAGAGGATCCGCTTCATTTCATAGTAAAATCCCTTGTGAGATTTGAAATGAAAATCTGTAGATGACGTCCAGCCCTTTAATTGACTTGGTGGAGAGCGATTTAGAGAGATCGCTTGGTGTGTGTCTTTCTGTAGTCGCGGTGAGGCTTAAGTAGGATTGCCTGCGTAGATTATGTTGGTCCATGTATCAGTCGGCTCTCGGTGCTGCTGGTAGTTTTGCCATGAGGATCCTGCTCTGGACCTTAGTTCATTCATGTGGTTGAGATTTTGGAAGGCACCCTGAGATCAGATGCTTCCAGAGTGAGACCCTAGGGCTCCCCAGCGGCTGTGCCCGTCGTGAGTGGGGCATAAAGTCTCTGCTTGTATGGAAAAGAAGAGTGGACTAAATTTGAAATTAAGGGCCCAGTTACCGACAAACTGGGAATTAGGGACAAGATCCTTACGAGTCTCACAGTGTGTTCTTCTCAAGTCCACTTTCTACTTCTGATGCTTCTTGTGAGATATCTGAAAAGTCTATTTCTTAACAAAAAAATTCCTTTTATCCAGAACTGTACATAAATAGTCGAAGTGTGCATACAGGTAGCAGATTCCTTTTGTCTGGTACACACATAATTTAAGCATGTTTAAACCAGTAACTTTGTATTAAAAACTTGTTTGATGTGGACAGGCTCTCAGCGCTTTTCCCTCAGCATCTCATGGGGTAGGTACCGTGGCCTAGCTCTGCCGGTGCTAGCTGTCTTTGTCTCTATAGGTCACTTCACTCCTCCAGGTATGTTTCATCGATTTTCAGCTGAACGATTAGTTCAAGATAATGGTTTCTCAGACTGCTCTGGTCTGGTGAGATGGCCCTAGAGGGGCGGGTATGTGGTGAAGAAGCTATACCTACAGTAGATCCTGTTTCATATAAATTGAGGTGTTTGCTGTTTTTTTAATAAGAAGAAAGGGTTATTACTTAAGAGAAAGTTTGTAAACCTCTGGTTTGCATAAAAGTTCTTCTGTGCTCGGTCTCTAGGAGATGACAGGAAGATTGGTGAGAAAAGAAATTATGAAAAGTGGTGAAATCAGCCATGCTTAGAAGTAACAGGTGCTAAACAATACTCTGTCATTGGATAGCTAGGGGAGACTGTCTAATCAATTATAGGGTGTCTGCTGAAATTATAAACTGGTCTGTGGCATTAATGTCAAAAACTATAATCTGACTGATTGTACTGAAAGGTAGTTAGGCTGAAGCTGTAATCTTGCCGATTATTAACAATCTTTTGAGAAGGGGAATATTTCAAAGATGGATTCTGCAGAGCCTAGGAAAAAGAAAATGAAGAGCAGGTAGGGCTCCTTCTTTATCCAGTAAATCCAAAGGAGGAGGCCACCATCCGCCCAAAGAGAGGGTTCTCTACCTGAAGAGATGGGCTCAGATTACAAGGCAGGGATATTTCATGTGACTTTCCCCAAGTTTAACTGAAATATTCAAAACCAGCCCCTCCCCATTATTGTTATGCTTTTATTATTTTTTTAAACCACGTAACCTCCTTGATAGAGTCTCATGTTAGTGCCCATAGTTAATGCACTCTGCTGCTAACCAAAAAGGTGTTGGTTCCAGTCCACGCAGACGTGCCTTGGAAGAAAGGCCTGGCAGTCTGCTCCTGAAAAACCAGCCATTGAACACGCTGTGGAGCACAGTTTTCCACTGACACATGTGGGGTTGCCATGAGTGGGAGTTGAGTCAACATCTGGTTTAGTTTTGGATTTAACCTCCTTGATGTTGATCTGGTCACAGAAATATATTCCCCTTATAAACGAAGAAGTTGGCATTTTGGTTGAATATCAGGCTTATAAGTTTGGTTAGCCTGAAGCATAATCAGCTGTTGGTACACTGGTAAAATAAAAATTTGAGAATCAACCTACTGCTGTTGGATGAGTTTCTCCTTGAGTGGCTGCAGTGTGATGGATCGCTGTTATGTGGTTTTTCTTGCCATAATCTTGTAATTCCCGGCAAATGATTAGGTGGGACTGTGCAAATAAGGTGCTTGTGGCCCACCAGGGGAATTGGATGGCTTGCTAATAATGTAAATAAGATGCATTGCACCCTGTGGGGGGGGGGCATGCCAGTAAGGTATATGGAACTCTAATGAGGGGATTGGTCAGTTTTAAGCCTTAACATGAGCTACCTCAGAGGGGTCTCACTGTCACCAAGAACAAGAGATGCAAGTGAAGCGTGTCCTTTGGACCTGGGGTCCCTGTGCTGGAAACCTCCTGGACCCAGGAGACAGAGCACTGTAACACTGGAGACAACAAGAGATGACGAGAAGCGGTCACAGAGAAAGTGGCAGCAGAGGTAGCAGGACCAGGAAAGCGGTGAGATGGCACAGTGGGCTTCCCTGCCCACGGAGCGAGACCGTTACAGGGAATGTGCCAGCACAGGGAACAGCTTGTGCCTTAGAGCAGGAGGCTTCTTGGCACACTGGGGTGCCCCTGGGCACAGTGGAGCTACGCTTGTTGACCCATGGAGGGAGACAGCTGAGCACCTTTGGGCCCAGGCTTACTGGTAGAACGGGGTGCCTCTGGGCACTTATTGGCAGAGCTAAAAGAGCTTTGTAACACTTGCCTGAGCAGGACAGCGGCTGCGCTGGCCCAAGAGGCCCAAGGGGCCAAGAGGCATGCTTGTGGGAACAACTGAGAAGAAGCTGTCCCAGCTGAAGAACTGTATCCAAGACTGTCCTGAATTGTAACCTGTCACTTCCATAATCAACTTCCAAACTGTGGATATGGTCTGCGAGTTTGGTGTGGCATTTGCAAAAAGTGCATGGGGGCAGCATCCTCTGACCGCCTCTAACTCCACAAGTGGGAGAGAGGGTCACCATCAGCAGCTCAAAGCTTATTCATTTGAGGCCAGACATGCTGCCAGCCTCCAGCCTTTTCACCAATTCTAATACCAGCCATCCATCTCACGGCACTCTCTACTTCTCTCCACTTCTGTCCTGGGTTCGATAATTCCTTGCAGTGGCTGCACAGAACTCACAGACCATACTCAGAATTATGGGGTTTATTAGGGAAGTAACAGGTAACAGTCCAAGTTCAGGAATGCACTCAGGATACAGTTCTTCAGTCAGGACAGCCTCCCTTCTGCCATGCCCAAAGCATGCCTCTTTTTGGCCTTTGGCCTCTCAGCCTGGCCTCTGCCCTGCTCTCTTGTTGTTGTTATGTGCCGTCGAGTCGGACCTGACTCATAGTGACCCCTCCTTGGGTTTCTGAGGCAGTATCACTA